TCTCGAGCGTGGGTGGTATGAGATACCACAAAGCCAATAATAAATACCTACCCGACCATAATCCAAATGAGCCGTCGAGTTACATCACCTACCTCGATGCAAACAATCTGTACGGCTGGGCCATGAGTCAATACCTGCCGTACAAAGACTTTAAATGGGCGTCTACAAAAACGTTTACTGAGTCCAAGATATTATCTCTCAGGAAAACGTCAAACACCGGTTACTGCTTTGAAGTAGACCTCGATTACCCGGACAATCTCCACGACCTGCACAACGATTATCCCCTAGCGCCAGAAAATATCGTCATACCAAAAGAATGGATGTCTGATTATCAAAACGAGTTATTGGATACCGAACCTAGTAGCAACGTGCAAAAATTAACGTGTACCCTTAATCCTAAACAAAAATATGTTTTGCACTACCTCACGTTACAGTTGTATCTCAAACTCGGCTTGAAACTTAAAAAGGTGCATCGAGTGCTGCAATTTAAACAAGCACCTTGGATGGCATCTTATATCGACAAAAACACGCAACTCCGAACAAAAGCGACCTCTGATTTTGAGAAAGACTTTTTTAAACTGATGAATAACAGCGTGTTTGGTAAGACGATGGAAAACGTCAGAAACAGGATTGACGGTTACCTGCTCAGAGACAGTAACGATGACGATCGAGATAAATACGAAAAAATTATACAGAAACCGAGCTACAAAACGACGACGTCATTTTCAGAATGCAAATTGTCATTTGTCGAAAAGTACAAGACTTAAACCGTGTTAAACAAACCAATCTATTGCGGAGTGAGTATCTTGGATCTCTCAAAGACGCTGATGTACGATTTTTATTACAACCATTTGAAAGACAAGTATAAAGATAAAATCAGGTTGATGTACACAGATACAGACAGTTTGGTACTCGTAGTGCACACGGACGACGTATACAAAGATATGCAGCAAAACGGGCAACACTACGACCTTTCGAATTATCCGACGGATCATCCTTTGTACGATCCAACCAATAAGAAAGTGATCGGTAAATTTAAAGACGAGTTTGGAGGTAAAATAATCAAAGAAGTCGTTTGTATAAGACCTAAAATGTACTCGATTTTAACCGCTGACATCAACCTGAAAAAAGCCAAGGGTGTCACAAAATCGGTCACCTCTAAGAAATTAAAACACCGACACTATTACGACTGCATCTTAAACAAGAAATCTCACTACGAAACAATGACTCACATTAGATCGGAAAATCACATCCTTTACACCGTATCTCAAAATAAACTATCGTTGAGTCCGTTGGACACAAAGAGGTACATTTTACCGGACGGTATAAACACGCTGGCTTTTGGTCACTACGGCGGTAATTGCGTGTCCTCGGGTACGACTTGAAGCTCTTGTCTCACAAAACCCCTTTTTGGACCGTTTTGAAGGTAATAAAGAGTAGGACCCGTCGTGACTTTTTTTACCGTTAATCATTTTAAATTGACTCGTTCTTTTTTCCACGTTGAAGATGTCTATCCGTGGCTCTTCTCGAGGTTCCACCCTCTTGCTCGCCCGGGTAATATAAAAGCTAACCATGGCATCTTGCGGTAATTGTTGCTCTTTTGTTTTAACGGGGTTAGCCGGCGATTGCCGGACCTGTTCTAGTTTAACCGCCTCTGACGGTGCTTTAGCTATTAATCTCGTCGTTTCATCGTTTATAGCTTTGATCACGCTGGGTAATCGCTCGACCCATTGCGTGTTTCTACTCTCGGGATTTAACATTTCTTGAGCGTACTGATGACCAAACAGTCTCTCGGCTAGCGTTCGATTAAATCTTTCTACGATACCCTGCGACCGGTGGTTTCCGGGTTCGCCGACGATAATCTCGACGTTTTTTGAAGCCATCCATTTTTTAAATGCACCTTTAAATTCGGTACCGGCATCTACTCTCAACGTTTTAGGGTAACTCAAAGGCGACCTCGCGTAAATCTTGACGATAGCATCCCGCGTGGAATCCGCCGTTTTAGAAACCAAAGGTTCTGCTTCGTGGTATCGACTCGCAACGTCGACAACCGTCAAAGCGTATTTATAAGTCTTGCGTTTTACTTTATCCCAGGGTAGGTATAGCACATCCATTTGGTGAAAGTCGTTTGGTGTTTCAAACTCTCGCGAAGTACTCGTAGGCCTGGGTACATATGCAGGACCCGGCAGATAAATTTGCCAGATCGCTTGTTTTTTAAGCCAATCCCTGATTACCTTTTTATCGAATTTGGTTTTATCGTGTAAATGGTCGACGGCGCTTTCACCTCTCCAATAACCGCTCGGGCTATAATACAGTTTTTGAAGTTTATCCATCATTTACTATAATAATAATTTAAAAGGCTTTATACATTAAATAGATGGCGTCAGCTGTTGTAATGATGGTTGGAGGTGCGATCATAAACGCCTTAGCTTTTTCGGGTTCAAACTTTTTATTTTCAAGTCTAAGGGATGATGGCAGCGAAGAGCGTAAGAGACACGATTTAGCGACAGAACAACTTTCAGCCGCCAGAGATCAGTGGCAACGAGAACGAACGAAACGACTCGATTTTCTCAACGAACGTATCAGAAAACAAAATGTTTCTAAACAAACATTTTCCAACGTAGACCAAGCGTTGCGTTACTACAACGAAATGACCGGAGAAAACGTCGAGTTACCCCGCGAACCCAAACTCGAAGATTTTTACGAGCCTAGCGACCAACAAATAGAAAAAGAACTGGCGTTTATCGCGGGAGGAAAAATCTTTGAAGGTGAGGAATTGGCTTTAAAGTTTATTGAAGGAGAAATGGATGCGAGCGAGTTGAGCGAGTTGAGAGATAGTAGAGAAGCAGGGGCAATTATAAGAGGAAGTCTTATCGTGACGGGTGATGATTTAGATTTTATTCCTCCGAGTCATTTAGCGCCGTTACCACTCGGAAGTATCGGTTCGGTCATCATAGCACCGGGGTGGTACGACGTCGATTGGTTCGATTTCATTTTAAATTCTATACCCGGGGTAAGTTTTCGAATATTTAGAGAATCTAAAAAGGTGACGTTGGTGATAACCGACGTAAATCTCAAATTGCGCTTGAACAGAGAAGTATCTCGATTACTCAATTTACCCAAAGGAAGACTGGTACCCAAAGTGGTGTATACGGGGTCTTACGACGTTAATCCGTTTAAATTTTTGTTTATTCACTGCCCGCAATTAAGTACGAGTGAAAACTTGTTTAATGGTCGTCCTTCTGACATCTTAAAAATCGTACCCGTGGATACGCGCAAACCCGATATTGATAGAGCCGAGGGATTCAAAAATCTTAAAAACGGTATAATCGACAAACTGACATTTTCTATCAGCGGTGAAAAAGGACAGGTATTCAACAACAAGGGTGAGGGTATCATTATCGAGTTGGAGATCTTTTAATTTTAAAATATTTTTATATTAAAAACATGAGTGTAGATGGTAAGGCGTTATACCCCGATATTTCTGGAGATGTACTCCGATTAAATAGTAACGAAGAAACAAAAGTGTACAGACTTAAAAAGATTGAAGAGATTCGATCTTTAATCTTGAAAGAGAGAGACCACCGAGAGCGCACTTATAAAAAAATAAAGAGAGTGATCGACACTATTAATTACGTAGAGATAGGATTAGAAGGATTGGGGGCTATAGCGGGGGCTGTCAGTATTCCCGCTCTCTTGGGTGTTATATCAGCCCCCGTTGGATTGGTGCTAGAAGGAACGTTTATAGGCGCTTTTGGTGTAGATATTCTGCTTAGAATCGCGTCTAGGCGATTATCCGCCAAGCTGAAAAAGCACGATCAGATTAAAATATTAGCAGACTCCAAACTTAACACGATTGAAGAATACGTGTCTCAAGCCATCAACGACGGAGATATATCGCACGAAGAGTTTATATTGATTACGAGAGAGCTCGCAAAATTTAACGAGCTTAAGCAAAAAATTAGAACAAAGACCAGCACAAAGCTTCAAAAGATGAAAAACGATACAGACTTTGAAAAAGAAGTTAAAAAACGGGTTGACGAACAGCTGACAAAAGAAAAAAAATCTCTTATCGAAAAACTTACAAGTTCGAATTCTCGGTAAATAAACATTATAAAAGCGATCCGCCGAGTTATACCTCTATTTCACCTCTTAGGGCTACACCCTCGGCCCCGCCTTTATTGTAGTGGTCATCGTATCTTTTTAGTGCCTTATTAAATTGATTTTGAGTCACTTTAAATAAATCTCTAACTCGTTCTTTGTCTAATCCAACGACGTGATAAAAACTCGCGGCTATTAACGACCGTTTGACGCAACCATTTCCCCTCAATGTTTTGTAATTAACGAGCTCGTTATATTTGTTGATTGTTTCTTGGACATCTTCTACGTCTTGCTCTGGACACACCAACAAAATAAGTTTCTCCACAGTTTTTCTTTTGTTTCTTTTTAAAATTGACCAATTGATACGATCTTCTTGCGCATTTTCTGCCGAAAAATCAAAGTAACGCGAGATATCACCGCACGTTTCACAAACTAAAAAATCATTCTCGATGATTATATGATGATCGCACTGATCCCCAAGTTGCGGCATCTCAAAGTATTTCATCTATTTAATAAACTTAAATAAAAATGATTGCATTTTTAAATAAATAAAATATCGCCCTCTGTTTTTTTTTATTTTAGCACTTATTTTTATAAAATTAAAATCAGATCTCTTAGCGCCTATAAATAGCACCCCTTAGCATAAAAATTAAATACCGCCCTCTGTTTATAATTGCTATCCCTCACACCCATAAATGGCGCCCTCTATAGGACAAACAATACTCAGACACAAACAAAAAACCCTTAAAGAAACAAATTATATTTACAACCATTTATTTATACAAAATTTTACTAAGATTTACAAACAATGATAAACTTTAAAACAACAATATCAAAGTCTTTTTAAAAAGCATTCACGTTGCTAGGCACCACACTCAATAGATCATAGACTCTGATTGTTAAATGGTCATACTAGGACCAAATACAAAAGAATACTTGTCATGTAAACTACTTTGATGGTTCATATAACGATCAGCCTTTTACCAAAAACCACACTCCATTGTTAAATGGTCATACTAGGACCAAATACAAAAGAATACTTGTCATGTAAACTACTTTGATGATTCATTTAACGATCAGCCTTATCGTGACAACCAGTGCCTTTGTACACATTTTGTACCCGATGGGTTATATACAAAACCATATCGACTAACGTCATGATAAAACAATGTATAATCAGGTAGTCCTATATGTACTTTGTTTCCAAATATTGGCGATATGTGAGACTTGCAACATAAGTTTAATTTCTTTTCTAAGGCTGTAAAGTTTATAAAATGGTAGTCCCAATAGCCTAAACAAGGGATAGTCGCATAATAAATGTGAAATCACGCGTAGCTTATTCGCGTAAGACCGCTGGATACCTACGTTGTCTTTAACCCAGTCTTCCCAGGATTGTAATGGTTGCTCATAAGCATGAATTGCATGAGCAATATGAAGTGCTCTTCCATAGTCCAGATAATAACGGATTGTGAGGGCCTCATGTCGCGTAACTCTATCATAGGCAGCTACAAGATAATTACGGGCTGTCTCCAGGTTTTTTACTTCAGATAATTCACCTAAAGGACAGCGGCTTTCCTGAGAAGAGTCTTCTTTTAAGTTACCAATTAAACATAGATGCAGATCATTTCCAGTAAGCTTAGACGTTGTTTGTTTATCTAATAGAGATCGAATATTTCCTTTTGGTTTTTTGGGTATTGATAAATTAACGCTGGGGCCTTGTTCTTCTAACTCACCAAGAAATGTTACCATTTCTTGGTGATACTTTTTATGTGCTCTTATTTTTTCTATCTTGTGCTTGCTCCATTGGTGGGTATATTGCGTTTCTTCATGGGTGTATTGCTTTTTTTCGTGGGTGTATTGTAGTTCTACGTCCATCTGGGGGTCTGTATCGTCGCTTACCGGTGTGCTTGAAGGTGGTGTGTAGAGGGTGTTGGTTGTTAGATGTTCTGTAGTCCTCTCTGCCATAATTCCTCTTGTCAGAGTACTTCTTTTTCAGTTCTGCAAAATATATTTAAAAAAATAATAAGTTTAAGAGTAAAAACCTACTGTAGAGTTTATCGCTCTCTTACTTTAAACTAAAAATATAGTCAAAAATCAGTTTACCTTTCAACAGTTAACTTAATTTCTTGGGTCTGCTTCAAAAGCTTGAGCACGATCTGTCGATTCACAACATAGATTCTAAAAGGGGGTAAACCAAATCAAGAATTAAGTTAAAATAAATGACCAGAGTTCTCCCTACGGGTAGTAAACCCAATCGAACAATTTGCATAAATAATGATATTTATCGTATACCTTATTCATAAACAAACTGCTTTTAAAACCATTCATTACAAACAAGTCTATCTAAACATAAACTATCTATCTTCATACGACTTCCAAATATAATCTAAACCTATGTTTTCACGTCGGCGCCAGTTTGATTCTTGAATCATAATTCACGTACACACACTGAATGTTAAAATAATGGTACTTTCAAGTGCAGTTCCAGATGTGTTGTCTGCCAGATTCATATCCAGGAGTCTGACTCCTTTTCTGGCCACTCTTCTGTCACCACCCACAGAACCATTGGTAACATCACTTGTAACACCCCTAATGTCATATATCTTATTTCTTGCAGGGTCTGTGGAGTGCAGTATGTAGGTGAGACTAAGAATACGCTCAAGAAGCGTTTCTATGCCCACCGGTCAACGGTCAACACCAAGAAACTAGACACCCCTGTTGGTCATCACTTCAACCTGCCTAACCACTCCATTTCTGATATGATTTTGCAGGGCATTGAATCTCTTGGCCATCGCAAGGACTCAGTTCGCCTCAGCAGAGAGAAAGTGTGGATGAATCGTCTTCGAACTATTCAACCACATGGTCTCAACATCCAACTTGGAAATGATTAATATTTTTCTTCCTCCATTGTCTTCTGTTACAGATAATCCACCTGGTCTTCATTGTTTGTGTTTCCCCATCTTTCCCCATCTTTCATCCCTTTCCACCTCCATACTGTTCCCGCCGCCTCCCCCCCCCCCCGCATAATCCCCCTTCACTCCCACACTCTTTTGTCCGTTCCCACTCCCTGTGACCTTTGATCCTTCCCCTTTCTGGTCCCTCCCCTGTTCATACCAGACCCCTTGTGGTTTGCCATCTCCCTTTGTTTCCTTGTTCTCTCATCCACCCTCCCCTGCATCTTTCCACACCTTTCGCACCTAATCCTCCTTTTGTGTTTCTTCTTTCATCCCTGCATGTTTGTGTGCACCCCCATGTTAATGTATGTACCTCTGTCATTTCTGTTTTAGCCTCTGAAGAAGAACTTGCTAAGTTCGCAACGTCAGGCCACATTAATTTTTAGATGTTAAAATAATACACAGCGATCTAAACTTACCTTTTAGCAAAGATAGAGTTGGCCCCGTATTTGAAAATGAAGCCAGTGTAATGTTGATTGTCGTCACTAAACTCTGTCTTGTATGCTTCTGGCAGTGCTGTAAGGGGTATCTCACTTATATATAAAATTAGCACCCATTGTTTGCTTCTGACGTATGGGATATGAGTCATATGCATGCGGCCCCAACTAACAAAAGCAATTCACGACTCATTGAATTTGAATAGGTGCACAAGTTCAGCGTCACCCCATGGAGCAAGGAAGTGCAAGTCAAGGTTAAAGTAGACTTGTATAAATCGTATTTTTATTTTTTAACACAAGATCAAAAATAAAAAATACATCTTAAATTGGGGCCCGGTTTTGGGCTGGGGGCTGAGACTGAGATATTGGGAGAGATATATTTGGATTGGGAGGGAGAGGGTGATCATTGAGAGGGGCGGGGGCAGAGACGGGCTAGGGGGGCAGAGATCATTGGGAGGGGGGCGGGTGGGGGGGCGTGGCCAAGGGGAGAGAGAGGGGGGCGAGATTATTGGGTTTGGTCTCGTACCCCCACATCCCTCCTACTCATGTAATAATGTGTTGCTTATATAGCGCCTTATACCAAAGGTGTCTAAGTGATTTAAAAAAAATCTATTCTTGCAGATTCCCAGTAGTTGAATAAAACATTGTAATCCATGAATATCTTACAATTTTGTTACGGATGGGACAGTGTGCTTAAATTCCGGGATAATCTATTTTGCATCTAGGTTAAAAAAAAAAGTTCAAACATTGTTTAAACAGTGCAATCTCGGAGGTGTGTGCTTTTGTTTAACACGTATACACTTAAGTAGACCTCTTGCAGATTCACTGTAATGAATTAGCATTTGCAAATGCAAATGCTTTCATCAGGCGGTCACGGATAGACAAACGGCTGACCTGGTCGCTGTGATGTTGTCCACACCGGCAGTGGTTCACAAAGTGCTCGCAGTTGTTGGAGAAAAGACGGTACACTGGCTTGTGGCCATCCGATTGACTTTTCAACTGACGCTCGATTTCATTCCAAATGTGTGTCCTGTCATATGGTGGCCAGTCGTCATCTCTTTGGTTGTCGATTCTGAACTTGTCGTTTCTGGAAACTTCACCGATTGAGTTTACACAGAGTACCGGTTTGTCTTTCGCTGAGGCCCCTGAACCAGAACTCTTTTTCTTGGAGAACTTTTTCCCGGTTCCGTCAGCCGGAGCAAAGTGGATCACTTGGTCGTGGTCATCCCCCCATTTGCCGACATAGATGCCCCAGTGCTCGTACGGCCGAGCAGTGCGATGGAACTCCAGCCTGTCACCCACATGCAACCGGGGCAATAACTGCCCCGATTCGCACCAGTCACTGACCAGCCCGAAATTAATGCGCCAGTCGTCATATCGACAATAGTTTACAAAGCCCTCGCTGTCTTTGAACAAAACCTTGCATTCGTAGTGCATGCCCACCCTGCCCGACAACTGACGACTGATTTCCTGGAGAATAATTTCCCTGTCTAACGGTGGCCACATCCGATCGTCTTCGTTGTTGATTCTGACTTGATTGCATCCATCAACTACATGTATCTGTATGGATTTAACACAAGGGTTTGGTTTGAGTCTCTCTGTGGACGTGGCTGAGCTCGTTTTGTCGTCATGGGTGAAGAGGACTACTTGCTCAAAGTCTTCTTCCCATTGGCCGATGTAAATGCCCCAGCGCTCATACGGAGTTCTGCATCTGAACTCCAGCCTGTCTCCTACGCGAACTTCATGAATGAAGCCCTCGAGATTAGCCTTGCTGTACCATTTGCTTAATATCCCGTAATTATTGTCTATGCGGTAGTTATGCTGACGATCTCGATCGTATCGACAGTAGTTCACAAAGTCCTCACTGTCTTTGAACTGGTTTCTGCACATGTACACTTCCTCACCTGCATCACTCTCGTGTACTTCTTTGAGCTGATACATGACTTCCTTGATAATATGTCCCGTGCTTAGTGGTGACCAGTCTTTATCCTTCAAGTTGTTGATCCTTACTTTACTACCTGGCTTATCTAAAAACATTAAGATAAGGGTAACAACAAACACATTTTTACTGGTTGGGAATTCGACATTCAAGTTCGCTCCCCCCTCTTTGTTGGCACGATTGTAGAATTGGACTGCTGACCAGTCAGAGTTGTTAAATTTACTTGCGGACGTGCAGATGGCCCAGGAGTGCAGACGCGGCGGATTGCTATTGATCAATTCAACTCTGTCTCCTTCACGCACATTATCTATGAATCTAGAGAGTTTGTCGCAATCGCACCAAACGCTGACTCCACCAAAGTTGTTGTCACAGGTTTGGCAAGCGTTTGGTTTCGTTACCCAGATTTCATCATTACTTGTCAGCCTCGATCCTGTACTCTCCGCCATAACTGTCAAAGGTTTTACCACTGTAATCTCAGCCAAATGGTTACCATCAACACCTCAACTCTTGCGCTACCTCAACATGTAAACTCTTGAATGGTCGCAGGTGAGAAAAATCAGAATCTGCCCAATAATTTACATGTCTTCTTTGCTACACAATTCGGTATCAATGATAATTCAACATGGCGTTAACGTGAATACAATGTAGTGATGGCACTTAATATCAGCACAAAGTGACTCAATGAGGCATGTGTGAACAGTACCGTATGTTAACTTATGTACCTGCACCATCAGGTGACGTGGCACCTATAAATATGTTTGGGTGTGTTGGGTCCATAGTACAACATTTTGTTTTCCGAATAAACATAAATGTTTTCAGTTTCTCGCCAGTTAATAGTTAATCAATAATTGAGATCAAAGTGTCAAAGTTTATATGTTTGTTTAGGCCACAAAACAAGGCTCCGGTTTCTGGAATGCGCGCGCGTCGCCGTAGCCATGTGCGTCGGCAAAATTAAAAAGGTTTTTTCTTTTTCAATGTAAGATGATGTCTCAAAACCGCCAAACTCACTGGTTTGACTGGAATCCTGCACCTGCACAATTTTAACGTGTTTTAGATGGGGTTAAGATCGAGCATAAGCTTTATGTGGCCTCTCTGGGCTGCCATATATTTTGTACTAAATTAAGTCGGGCACCATTTACAGTTATCAGCCAACATGTGAAGGAAAAAAAAACAGCCGCGTCGCTGCACCACTTATGGGCAAGCTCCATACCAGAAACTGAAGACTTTTTGGGGGCCTTACCTTACATTTCCATTTCAATACTGTCACAAGGTTCATCTGCCATAATCAGGATAATTGTTAGGGAATACACTTTTACAGAGAAAATGAACTTCACCAACCATCAAAGTCTCACATTTCACCAGTTATCATATCACAAAACAAACTTAAGTTGATAAGTAATGTTCGTTTCATGGCCTCATTACAATTAATCCAAAATGTTGTCTCAAGTTTGAAGTAAGGATATATGACAAATAAATCATTATTTAAATAATAAATCTTGCTTTTTAGCTTTCGTGACTTAACTCGGCAATTTCATTGCCAAACGGCTGTCCTAAATTTTTCGGGGTTTGGAGAAGGGGGAAAAGAGAGGGGATTGGGGAAGTTGAGGGAGATGGGTCATTCATTTGGTTTTATATTCAATAAGAAGTTCATGTTTTGCCTTCCTTCAAATTCTGAGGGGAAACGCAGGGCTCCTAGCTTACTTCCCCCCAACCACCCTTAGTTGTGCCACTGCAAGTATTGAATATTTCTCTATCGCTCCTGCAGAAAATGTGTCTGTTTGAATGACAACATTGATCACGCCAGTCCCGATGCGTACATGGTGAAAGCTGCCACGAGAGTGCAGAAACCGGTTCTTACACGTAGATGAACTACGGAAATGGTAAGCAGGGCATAACATCAAAACGAGGAACAGAAAAATGTCATGTTTGTATGCATCAATGAGAATCTCACCTTGAAAATTTTCCTCATGTTGACGTAGTATAGCAAGCATGACCTGCCGCAAACGGGGACAAAGTATGAAAGTTGTGTATACCACTTTAGAGCTTTGACTTTCAAAACTGTAATCCTACCTCTGCTGTAAGTGTTGTGTGAGGACCATCCTATTTGACACCATCTAACAGCTATTGTAGAGTGAAACCAATGAATATTCATAAGATGGAATTATGCATGGGGGTGATGTAAATTCAATATTGGGTTTTGCCCTTCACCGACATGTTTGTTTTTATAGGGCCTAATTCTGTACTGTCATTGTGAGAAAAAACACGACTTGGAATGAAACAAAAAAATATGTCGTTAAAGGTTAAAACCCAATTTTGAACTTACATCACACAGACGCAAAATTTAATACACATGTAAATTAACAGTTTGGTTTGTGGTACTGGTACCCGCTGCTTTATAAGATTTGAACCAGCCTGCCAACCCCAGCAAGCTCGATGGTTGAGTGGTAAGACATCTGCACTAGTTGGCAGGTCGTGGGTTTGAATCCCACCCGAGTATTTTTTGCTCACAATAACTCGGAACAACACTCATCAACAGTGTTTTTTTTATAAAAAGGAAATGAATAAATAGTCAAGAAGGGCACAACCCAATATCAGCTGAACTCAAAAGCTAGAGAAAATGATATTTGGTTCTCGGATCAACAAAATGTGACCCAAAATTTGATGATGGATCGTGTTGGACTCAGCTGGTTAGTGGTTAATATAAAGGATTGTACTTCTAAAGGATGTACTTCCTGTGCTAGTTTTTTGTTTAACCTGTCAGAAATAGATTTTGCTTTTAAATAGCTATTTTTTTTCTGGCAAAAAGTTATTCATTTCGCGGCATCGACTGAAAAACAATCAGTCCATAGAGTTATAACTTCAAATTATTAATTATTTACAGCCAGACACCAATTTAATACACACAGGGACTTGATCCCACCTACCCTCCCTTCGGGTACGATAATTTGTGGGCCAAGAACCAGTCTACCCACTCGGTAGATCAATTCATGCACAAAATGAGATCTAAAATTGAAGCTTTTTTGTGACTTGTTTTGTTTTTAATAGAAAAGATTTTTTTTCATTACAGTACGAAAGTTAATGTTTATGTGAGAAAAACATGCAGAGCCTGGACGGCATATCACTAACATTTTTTTCTTTCGCTGC